TTCCAATAGGAGGAGGCAAAGAGAAGATTCATGAAGTGTGCGGGGATTGGGGGAATCACCAGGCCAGTGATGGCACATCCCAGAAAGTGTTAGCAAAAATACAGATGGTGAGGGATGCCCCTTGATATGGTTTGGCTGTGTCGCCACCCAAATCTCATCTTGAACTGTGGCTCCCATAATTCCCACATGTTGTGGGAGGGACCCAGTGGGAGGTAATTGAATCATGGGGCAGTTTCTCCCACACTGTTCCCACGATGGTGAATAAGTCTCACGAGATCTGATGGTTTTATAAGGGGTTTCCCTTTTTGCTTGGCTCCCATTCCCTCTTGTGTGCCACCATGTGAGATATGCCTTTCACCTCTGCCATGATTGTGAGGTCTCCCCAGGCACATGGAACTGTGAGTCTATTAAACCTCTGTTTCTTTACAAATTACCCAGTCTTGGGTATGTCTTTATCAGCAGCGTGAAAATGGACAAATACACCCCTTTACAAGTAAAATCTGTATCCTTGATTTCCAGCAACAAGCACTGACACTGAAGGGGGCAGCCTTGGCAACAGAGGCCCTGAGGGACTTCAGAGAAGCAGAGGAGGCTGATCAACAAAGGGTCCACAGAAAGAAAATCCTTGGGGAGTGGACCTGTGCCAGGCACTGTTCTAGGCAGAGATGGAGACAATATCTGTGAGCAAAACAGAAAAAAAAAAATCTCTGCTCTAGAAGAGTTTGCATTCTAGTGGGGGAAGACAGGGAATCAGCAGGATAAAGAGAAAAATTAGAAGTAAACTTCGAAGATGGCAAATGCTGTGGAGAAATAAAAAGCAAGGAAGGTGAACAATGAGTGCCGCCATTTTCTAGTAGGTCATCCAGGAAGTCTTCAATGGAAATGGGATTGGAGCAAAGATTTGAAGGGCAAAAAGAATACTGAAATAAATGTCTCAGGGAAAATGTGAATTGATTTAGAGTCCACTCCACTGGTTTTTCATTAAGTATGTCAAAATGATGATTAGAATGGTGCATGTGTTGTTAGAGGATTAACAGTTACCCTTGAGGCTGCTCGGACACCACTAACAAGACAAGTATCTCACTGTGAAGAGGCAGACATGGGGCTGCTGTCGGGAGTTGTGCTGGCCAGGAGCCCCCACCCAGCCTCCCTAACCCTAACCCTGAACACCCCTACTGTTGGCTGCATCTTTGTCCTTGAACACCTGGAACGCAACGTTGTCCAGCAGCTCAGAGCCCCCATCTGTGAAAGAGGTCAGTGTCTCAGCAGCTGGCTGTTGAATAGGTGTACAGGTGTAGGCCACTTCCAGACCCACAGTCGGGAGTTTTTCACTGTGCTTGTCCCCTGGGGGACTTCAGGATGCACCACCAGATCCACTCCCTCCCTCAGGTGGGTCCTCAAGGAGCCCTGTCCAGGGTTAAAAGCATCAATGGCAGCAGCACGTCATGGGTCACAGCAAACCAGGTGGAAAACTGAGCTCAGGGACCAGGGAATGTATCCCCAGCAGGGTGCTAGTGATTAAGTTGCCTTTGAAACCTCCAGGGGAGAAGAGGCTCCCCATTATTTCCCATCCTTTACGTAGAGAACACTTTCGGGCTCCTAGACCAGGGGTGGCTGACCTGAGGAGCAGTCCCCATTGCAAGTTACTGATGGCAAAATAATGTTTTTATCAGGGATGGAATCAGGTGGCAAATACAGGAAGACGGTATTTGGCCATGGAGGAAGACTGCAGAGAGAGTCTAGACCTCAAATGACTTTGGGGAATATAGATGGGCTAATCAAAGTGTCCCATCCAGGGCTCTGTTCTTGAGAATTGCAATAGAAGGAATGAGAGAATAAAAATGAAATGCAAAAAAGAAAGGCCACTTGGTTGTGGATTGGAAGGAAAAACTTTAGGAGTTAAAAGACTATGACCTGGGCTTGGGTGGGTCATTTAAAATTCTAAAGCCTCATTTGAAAGTGAGAGTTATACTTGACAATCTCTAAATTCTCACTCACTTTTGATATGTCTAATCTATGCTTCTCTTGAATGGTTCATCATAATAGATAAAGGAGTGAATTTTGGGGAACCATTGCCAAAAATTAGATGTAAAATTCCTTCTTCCCACTAATCTGTTGGGAATTCAAGGATTGCAATTCCATTTCAGTACAGCCCTCTTTGCCACATTTGCTGAGAGAATACAGACCATTCTCAACAACTCAACTGTTGACGTCCAGAAAGGATTGCAATGTATCTGTAGAGATGCTAAGAGATTGTGAAGGCCTTCTGAGGAATGCACAGACAGACTTCACTTAAGAGCTCAGTTTCCTCGGGGCAAATAAATGAAAGAAGTTCCAGGTTGACAAATAGCAAGGAAATAAAAAGGAACTTACAAGCTCCAGAGTAATTTTTAAAACATGATCGGAGTTCATGACACTGGCTGCTGTTACAGCATTCAGTCTGGGTACGTCACTTCCGCATCAATGTCGTGATTCAGAACAGTGGGTCTTTGTTGAAATCTGAGATTTCTTGGGTAAAAGTATATCATCAGGTTTGTATGAGGCTAGGTGTTACTTGTATTTCAAGCCTCAAAAGCAAATAACATTCAACTCATGTAAAATTTATTTTTTCTGATTGTAAATCATAACAGTCAAAACCAAGCATATTAGGAAATTTTGGATGGTATTTAAGTTTCTGAGAAAGGAACAGCACAATGATTTGATAGGTAAGATTTAAGGATTACCCAGCTGTGAAGTTGCTGAGAGCTCAGCCTAATGTGTTATTTTTAAATTTGTAATAAAACACATCTATTTTTTAAATGGTATTGCTAAACTGAGGGTTCTACCATGAAATGACTAAATCCTGGTGACTTTAGGTCTAATCTTACATTCTTTGCATGTTCCAAATTAATTAAATGTGAATTAATTAATTAAAGCTGAATTAATTAAGCAAAGGTGAATTCATTAAATAATTAAAGGTGAATTCATTAACTAATTAAAGGTGAAAGTCTCATTTTGAATAATTTACTCAAGATTTACAAACCCTCATGCAGAATCGGTCTCACTCCTCCAGAAGCCAAGAATCACATTTACATCAGTGTCCCGCCCAGGAAAGACACCTTCCCCATGCTTTGTCCCCACTCCACTGTAGTTTCCTTGGGTTTCCCCTTCTGCCAGACAGACCATGGGCTCACCAGGGAAGAGAAAGAGAGATGCTCAGCCCCGAGGCTGCTGGATTCTAGCTCCTCAACTCCAGCTACTAGCCAAATGGTAGCATGGCCTGGCTTCTAGATCAACACCCAGTGCCCTCCCTGTACTCTCGGGTTGGCCTTCTTGAGTACAAATTTTAAAATAATCACTAGCGTGAGGAACTCATAAGATCACAAACTATAAGAAAATGAATTAGATGCAGAATCCAGTTTTAACTTGTTTAGGGGATTAGTCTTAGTAGATGGTGTGATGGCTAATATTGACTGTCGACTTGATTGGATTGAAGGATGCAAAGTATTGTTCCTGGGTGTGTCTGTGAGGGTGCTGTCAAAAGGGATTAACATTTGAGTCAGTGGAATGGGAAAGGGAGACCCACCCTTAATCTGGGAGGGCACCATCTAGTCAGTTGCCAGCATACCTAGAATAAAAGGAGGCAGAAGAACATGACAAAACTAGACTGGGCTAGCCTCCCAGCCTACATCTTTCTCCTGTGCTGGATGCTTCCTGCCCTCAAACATTGCACTCCAAGTTCTTCAGCTTTCGGACTCGGACTGGCTTCCTTGCACCTCAGCTTGCAGATGGTCTATTGTGGGACCTTGTAATTGTATGGGTAAATACTCCTTAATAAACTCCCATATATATTGCGTATTGTGTGAGTCAATACTCCTTAATAAATTCATATATATATGAGCTTATATATCCTTATAAATTTATATATATATATATATATATATATATATATATATATATATCCTATTAGTTCTGCCCCTCTAGAGAACCCTGACTAATACAGATAAAATGAGATTTTTAAAAGTAGATGCTTTTCTAGGTCAAGAGCAACCAAATTTTGGCAATTTCACATGACTTGAGCTCTACTTAGGAATCCTTCAATTCTGGATTCTCTGTCTTCTTACCTGAGTTTAACCTATTCCTGCTCTTCCTGAGCTTCTCAGAATATGCCTTCAGATTCCACGATCTATCCTTAAGCAAGTTGAGTTCCCGCTAAGCTCTTCTAGCCAACCCAACATCCATTCCATAAACATTCATTGAGCACCGGTTCTGAACCAGGGAATGCTGCAGACACAAGGTCAGATGTATGTCTGTCTTAACCTTTGAGGAGTTCATAGTCTAGTGAGAAACAGAAACTTTAAACATGTACATAATTAGGTTAATGATAGAAATATGTCCAAAGTGTGGAAGAGAATCAAGAAGCATCATGCTTATGGGAAAGAGTAAGGAAGATTTCAAAGAAGAGTCAATATGTGGATTGTGTCCTGAGAGAACTGTAAGATTTCCTGAACAAACCCAAGAAGGGAAGGCATTACAGCAGGCGCAATGTGAAATCTGGGCTCTGGAGCCATGAAAGAACACTGAAAGTTCTGGGGAAGGGCCAGTAGCTCCATAGGGCCCAATGATAGGATGCAAGGAGGGGCTGGGTGTGGTGGCTCACACCTGTAATCCCAGCACTTTGGGAGTCCAAGACAGGAGGATCATTTGAGGCCAGAATTTCAATACTGCAGTGAGCTACGATCGAACCACTGCATTCCAGCCTGGGTGACAGAGCGAGAGCTAGTCTCTAACAATTAAAAATAAAGAAGATGCAAGGAGATAAAAGGAGATTGGTGTCAGATCTTAAAGGAGCATGACGTTCTCTCCCTGAATCATGTGTTTAAGCCACAGAATTTTTTTCTAACCAGAAAAATGACATGGTATTTATAAATTTGCAAAATTATAATTTTTTATATTTTATGCTTTTCTTCCTGTGACCTGCGAGACCAGAATGAAGAATCAAGCCAAATGAGTAGGATGTGTAGGCTTTAAAAACTATCTTTATTGTTTTTTTCTACTTATAAAAGAAATACAGATTCATTCTAAGTAATTCAAACATTATAGAAATATACAACATAGAAATCAAATGCTCCCTGTAATCCAACCTCCCAGACCCAAACCACTGTTACTACATCTGGTGTAGATTTCTTTATACTTTTATTTCAATGGCAAAAGCCACAATTAGTTTTGCACCAACCTAATAGTTTATAACATATTAATATGTTTTTTCCATACCAGTAAATATAGAGTTACCTCATTTTTTTAGTGGCATGTAATATTGTATTACATGTATTTGTTGAATTAGACCTTATGTTGTGGACATGAGGATGTTTTCCATTTTCTTTCTTTCTTTCTTTTCTTTTTTTTTTTTTTTTTGACACGGAGTCTTGCTCTGTCTCCAGGCTAGAGTGCAGTGGCTCAATCTCGGCTCACTGCAACCTCCGCCTCCTGGGTTCCAGCAATTCTCCTGCCCCAGTCTCCCAAGTAACTGGGACTATGGGCGTGTGCCACTATGTCCAGCTAATTTTTGTATTTTTAGTAGAAACGGGGTTTCACCATGTTGGCCAGGATGGTCTCCATCTCTTGACCTCGTGATCCACCCACCTTGGCCTCCCAAAGTGCTGGGATTACAAGCATGAGCCACTGTGCCAGGCCACATTTTTCATGATTATAAACAATCCTGGGATGAACACCTTTTTCCATAAGCCCTTATAAACTTGTGAAGGTGTTTCTATAGGATACATTCTTAGAAATCCTTCCGGAAACTGATATGAAGGGAATAACTATTTTTTATTTTAATGAGTATTGCCAAACTGCCATCATAAAGGTTATATCAATTTACATCCCAACAGTGTGTGGTCCCCAACTTCCCTAGGGCTGTGGGATTTTATAGACAGTCTGTTCTCATCAGAGAGACTGTAGAACCTCGAGACTCTTCATTTAACTCTGTGAATGTCTGCAGTTCATACATTTCTCTGGTGGCTGATATGTTAACATTAATAGCAACTCGAAGGTTTGCCCAGAAAAGCCCACATTTACGCCTATCCTTGGGCCATTCCAAGTATGCTTTTTTTTCCAGGAGAGTTTTCAGTTTATGACACCTTGTGGGAATGCAGTAGAATGGAATGGGTTCCAGTAAGATAAGAATTATATGATCAGAATTTTCATGGAAGAGATTGTGGTAGGCAAAGTAGAATTCATAATGGCACCACTCATTCTGGACAAAGTTGGGAGACAAAACAAAGATGGACTTATAGCTTTTCTCAATGAAGCTTACAATATTTTCACTAATGCTCTTGCCAGGGTCAAAGTATCTTTCATAAAGGCAAATCAAGATAGAACCATCTTCTTTCTCTAGATTGGGGATCAATTCATTCTTCACCCACAGAGAATCATGTTCACTGTATGAAATAAATGCGTGGAATCGGACATTTCTCTTGAGTTGTTCTTGAGTTGTCTTCCTAACCCTGTGCCATGTTTGTGTGCATTGACCTAACATCCTGAAATACCAGGGCATATCAAAGTGGAGACAGCAGAAGGCCACAGCCAACCCCAGAACTAGCATGATAACCACAATGGTGACAATCAACAGAGCTGTGTTGCAAGATAGTTCAGGGAGATGAACATCTTTTAACCGAGTGCCCCTTAGGTTTAAAGGGTATTCACAGGTGTAAGAATCTGACCATCCAACCATCATGACCTCTGAATATGTTTCAAGCTGAATGAAATTTTTTAATTCACAAGTACACCGGAATGGATTTCTTCCCGCATTTAGAGTCTTAACTTCCTGGCAGCTCTGAACAAAATCCAGAGATGGGCTGAGAATTAAGTTCATTTCAACGTTCAGAATTGAAAGTCTACTGAAATGACTGCACCCAGGGAGATCAGTTAGGAAATTAAAAGCAATATTTAGCTCTCGTAAGGCCATCAGATGAATAGTCTCTTTAGGTACAGTTTGGATTTGGTTATTATTTAGGTCAAGTATTTGAATACCTTTGGGCAAGCACCTGAAGACAGAATCAGACAATTTATTGTATGACAGATTCATGTTGACCACAGTTTCTGGCCATGAGCAATTTTCATCATTTTTATGTTGTAATAGATTTTGACTCAGATCCAAGTGTTCCAAGGGTGTGTTGTTAGCAAAGCAACTCACTAAAGAAAGTGTCTCCAGTTTATTGCTATTCAAAAGGAGAGTTTTCAAGTGAGGCAGTTGGATAGTTCTTTTAAACAACTCGTCTGTTAAGATATTATTGGCAAAATTTAAATATTGGAATTTTGTAGGATAATTAGGGAAAAGCATATGTGGCATTTGTGCATTTGATATTGTCAGGTTTTCTATGTCCATTTTGGTCAAAAGCAAATAGATGTTATCCTGTTGAATGTAAAACACTCTGAAATGTACATGCTCCAATTTTATAGTTCTCATTACAGTATTTGAGTAGTCAAATGAATTGTGGTCAAGATAAGCCTTACCACCAAAAGTCACATTTTGGATCTGAAAGTGTTCCACTGATGTATGCCAAACAAATTGTAAGATATGGAAAAGGTCGTCCCAGAGTAAATCAACTTTATTAAGTAATAGAACTGATGTCTTAGCATTTTCTAAACTAATATTTCGTTGCATTTCATAACTTACAAATTGGCTTTTGCCATCTATATTTGTCATTTCTAATATTTTTGAAGTCTTGATTCCATCACGCAAAAGAACCCAGAAATTTGTGTCCATTGGTAAAACAATGTGCAGTTTTGTCGTGTTTAAGATGGGCAGGCTACCTTCTTCATAATGAGAAAGAGTTCTGAATCCTAAGAAGACACTATTTAGATGCAGATGAGCAATTTTCTGGAAATCTGATTTTTGTATTTTTGCCCCACTCAAACCTAGGATTTCCAGGTGTGACATGTTGCCAGCTTCCTCACAGATAGGCATGGTGTCAAAGTCATTAAAAGAAAGATCTAAATACCTGAGACCTGCCAGTAAATACCAAGTTACGCTCTTCAGTCTGTTATTAGACAAATCTAAATATCTTAACTCCTTGTTGAATTCAAAGGTTTTGAGATTCAGCTGTTGAATTCTGTTATGGCGTAGAATCAAAACTTTCAGTTTGGAGACAGAATGAAAATCTGAACTCTGGAGTTGAAAAAGGAGGTTATAGGATAAATCCAGTGTGGTTGTGGCTGGGGTCAAGTCTGCGGGAACCTTTCTTAGAGACATGTTGGAGCAGTTGGTCATCAGTTCCCTTTCTTCTGGCAGCTCTGGAGCCTCGCCCTCTACTGTCATAACAATACTACAAAATATGTAAATGTTTCTGATGAGTCTCATTGTATTTCCAAGGATTTTACCACTGATTTCCTCATATGAATGATGAAGATGAGCTCAAAACCCTAAAAAGACAGTATATAATGTTAGGTTTTTATTTGGTTAAATCCTGTAGGACTTTTATTTGTGAAAAAAATGCCAACATCTGACTATATTCATCAAGAGGTTGGAATAGGGTCCCAATCTGTATGTTGGGTCTTTGACTTGATCTCAGAGCATTGGCTGAGAAGTCTCCAAGCTGGCTACTGTGCCATATCTCCGTTGTTGAGGCAAGTCAGGATTCTCAGAGAGGAGAAGCATAATGGCCCTTCGGTTTAAGAACCGCATTGTCAGGTCAGACTCAACACCCTCTCTCACATCTCCTTTTGATAGCCTGAAGATTTCAAGAAAATTGAAAGTAATTTGTTTTATTACCAGACACTGTGAACCTTTGACTTGATATCAAGGAGTTATCCCTCAATTTTTGTATTTGTGGATATAGAAAGTCCCTGGAGCTAATATTGGACTTTGAACACTTACCTATACAGATGGAAGTTTCAAAACAGGAAACAAATAGAATGATTCCTGTCCTTCTGCCTCTATATGTCTTCAGGTTAGTGGCAAAAGCAATCTGGATCACTGCCAAATAATAGTATTAATGTTGAGAAACAATTTCCAGGTGTGACATGTTGCCGGCTTCCTCACAGATAGGCATGGTGTCAAAGTCATTAAAAGAAAGATCTAAATGTCTGAGACCTGCCAGTGAATACCAAGCTACAATCTTCAGTCTGTTATTAGACAACTATAAATGCCTTAACTTCCTGTTGAATTCAAAGGTCTTGATATTCATCTGTTGAATTCTGCTATGGCATAGAATCAAAACTTCCGGGTTAGATTTCAATGTGTCAAGACACATACTAATTGCTTCGTGTATATTATTTATTTATCACCATACTCTGTGAGGGAAGTACTATTACTCTCATTTGATAGACAAGGAAACTGAAGGATATAGAATTCTGAGGACTTTGGGAGACATGTTAAGCTTCATGTGGTTTGATTAGACATAGAACAGAGGTAGTTGGAATACTAAGATTTTACAATATTCATTATTCAAGATATTTATTAAGTACCTATTCTGCCTTTTCTAGGCACTGGGGAAGTAGCAGTGAAAAGAACAGATTTCTGTTTTTACACAGCTTACATTCTAGAGAGAGGGTAAGAAAAGAGAGACTGCAAACAACACAATACATTTATATGTTATGACTCACAATTCCACATGCCTGGGGAGGCCTCACAATCAGGGTGGAAGGCGAATGAGCAGTAAAGTAATGCCTTACGTGGCAGCAGGCAAGAGAGCGTGTGCAGGGAAACTCCCCTTTATAAAACCACGAGATCTCGTGAGACTTATTCACTATCATGAGAGCACGGGAAAGACCTGCCCCTATGATTCAATTACTTCCCACCAGGTCCCTCCCACAACATATGGGAATCATGGGAGCTACAGTTCAAGATGAGATTTGGGTGGGGACCAATATCAGGCAGTGATATTGACTTGAAGGAAAAATAACTACAATAAGGGAAACAGAAAGAGACTGGGGAGTGATTTTTTTGTATAGAATGATCAAAAAAGGCCTCCCTGATAGTGACATTCATACAGAGATCTAAAGCAGGTGAAGAAGCAAGCCACTTGTTGTCTAGGGAAAGAGTATTTTGGAGAGAGAGAACAGCAAGTACAAATTTAAAGATCCTGATGTGCTTGGAAAATGTGAGGAAGGCCTGGAGTGGAGTTAGGGGAGGAAATCAGAGAAAAGGTCAGATCTTGTAAGAACTTGGCAATTTTCCTCTGACTGAAATAAGAAACCAGCAGAAGATTTAGAGTCCAGGAGTGGCAGGTTCTGGCATACATTTTAAAGATTCCTCTGTTTGAGGCAACCTACAGAATGGGAGAAAATTTGTGCAATCTATCCATGTGACAAAGGGCTAATACCCAGAATCTACAAAGAACTTAAAAAAATTTACAAGAAAAAACAACCCCATCAAAAAGTGGGTGAAGGATATGAACAGACACTTCTCAAAAGACGACATTTGTGTAGCCAACAAACATATGAAAAAAAGCTCATAATCACTGGTCATTAGAGAAATGCAAATCAAAACCACAATGAGATACCATCTCATGCCTGTTAGAATGGCGATCATTAAAAAGTCAGGAAACACGAGATGCTGGAGAGGGTGTGGAGAAATAGGAACACTTTTACACTGTTGGTGGGAATGTAAATTAGTTCAACCATTGTGGAAGACAGTGTGGCGATTCCTCAAGGATCTAGAACTAGAAATACCATATGACCCAGCCATCCTATTACTGGGTATATACCCAAAGGATTATAAATCATTCTACAATAAAGACACATGCACACACATGTTTATTGCAGCACTATTCACAACAGCAAATACTTGGAACCAACCCAAATGCCCATCAATGATAGATTGGATAAAGAAAATATGGCACATATACACCATAGAATACTACACAGCCATAAAAAAGAATGAGTTCATGTCCTTCGCAGGGACATGGATGAATGTAGAAACCATCATTCTCAGCAAACTATCACAAGAACAGAAAACCAAATATCACATGTTCTCACTCATAACTAGGAGTTGAACAATGAGAACACATTGACACAGGGAGGGGAACATCACACACTGGGGCCTGTCGGGGGATGGGGGGGGTAGGGGACGAATAGCATTAGGAGAAATACCTAATGTAGATGACGGTTTGATGGGTGCAGCAAACCACCATGGCATGTGTATACCTATGTAACAAACTTGCACGTTCTGCACATGTACCCCAGAACTTAAAGTATAAAAATAAATAAATAAATAAATAAATAAATAAATAAATAAAAAGATTCCTCTGTTTGTTGGGTGGAAATGACTGGGAGCCACAAGGCTGGCAGGGAAGACTCATTGGGACACTATAGAGTAACTTGTGCCAGAGAGAATGTATCAGTGCAAGTGGAGAGAAGTGGTTAGATTCCAATTGCAAATTAGTAAACAATTTAACTACACATGTCCCCACCCCAGGCACTCTGAAGGTACCAAGGGCAGGTGATAAGTTAGTGTGGGAGTTTTTCTGCTTCCATTTGTATGTATCTGTTACACACTGACCCTCAACCTCCCTCAGACAGGTCACTCCCATAGACAAGCAGAGGGAGCAAACGACATGCTCAACAGAAAGAGGATGGGGTAGAGAGACTTCTCTGTGCGTGTCATGCTCCCAGCATTCTGAGAGGCTGGATGGGAGGTGGGGGAGGCGGTGGGCACACCCACCCACAGGAATGCACACAAACATGGCGAGGTAACAAAGGTGGGGCAGAATCAAAACATACAGCCACTTAGAATGTTACCTCTCTCTCATCTGTATTTCTCTTCTCTAGAACCTTCCCAAGTCTGGTTTTTTCTTGAAGTAAAGAAATTCCAGAAAACCTCTGGAGAGCAGGGAGTGGGAGGGCCACTCCCAAGTTTTCCATTAGCGGCTGATACTAGTAAAGGAAAGAGAGCATCTTATCTCTAATCTTGGGAACACATACGATCATAGTTTCTTTGTGTGAACTCCCTTACATCGTAAACTTGGAGAATTCTTTTGTAAAAATATTAATTATCCACATTGATCATGTAATTTTTATATTTTGTAAACTTTTCTGGTAAGTGTTCTCAAACATCTTGGAGAAAAAGCAATAATTTTGGTAAGGTCACCATATTTAGATGATTTCTCAAAATACCAACTTTTCAGTCTGGGAGACACAGCGAGACTCCGTCTCAAAAAAAAAAAAAAAACACCAACTTCTAAAAACATGGTCAAATGACTTAGATGCCTCTGGCCATATTTTTCTTTGCTAACATTTCAGTGACTCCCTACAGTGTAATACATACTAAAATATTATACTGTATTAATATGTAAATATAACACAGTATAATTATCAGAAAAAAACAGGTGAATATTCTATTTAATTAACTTAGTTCCTGCTGGATTTTTTAACTGTTATATATTTAAGGGTAAGTTTTCTATATCTACTTTTAAATATTTCTAATAGAAAATCAGTTTACAACTGTGGCCTGGAAGTGTAACTACTACTCAAATTATTGTGTTCATAGTATCTAATGTATAATGATAAACTTTATATTTTCTTTCAGTTTTCTTAAAACTATGCATTAAATTTCAGAATATCTTGATGTCCATGCCACTAGAAGCAGAAAATAATTTTCCATGAATTCATGATCTCTTCGGAATGACCTCTTAGTAAATAAACTTTCGTTCATTTGTTTATCAACTGTCCCCTCTCCATTCATTCCCATGATAGCTGTCTGTCTTGTTCACTTCTGTATCCTCAGCACATAGAATAGTGCTTGACACGTGGTGCCAGCTCATTAACTACTTGTTGAATGCACATATGAATGAATGAATCCTTGTATGTATGAATGTCAACATTTTAATCCTTAGCACAACATGAGGCATAGTATGCTCTCATAAATACGTGTTGAATGAATGAATTTATGTTGTGAATTCCTGATATAGTGCAGGGCATGATGGTTAAAGAATGAATTTGGTGGGCCGGGCGCAGTGGCTCAGGCCTGTAATCCCAGCACTTTGAGAGGCCAAGGCAGGTGGATCACGAAGTGAGGAGATCATGACCATCCTGGTTAACATGGTGAAACCCTGTCTCTACTAAAAAAACACAAAAAAATTAGCTGGGCATGGTGGCACGCGCCTGTAGTCCCAGCTACTAGGGAGGCTGAGGCAGGAGAATCGCTTGAACCCAGGAGGTGGAGGAGGTTGCAGTGAGCTGAGACGCCACCACTGCACTCCAGCCTGGGCAACAGAGCAAGACTCAGTCTCAGAAAAAAAAAAAGAATGAGTTTGGTTTTAGGGATTGATGGATCTGTGTTCAAGTCCAGTGTTAACCATTCATTAGCTATGTAACTTGGACCGTTTATTTAATTTCTGAAAGGTTTAGTTTTATCATCTGTAAAATGGAGCCTGTGAAGAGGCGTAAGACAATGTATATAAATCACTTAGTACCATGCCTAGCATATCACACTTAATAAATGGTGGCAGTTATCAGGTCAAGACTTGGGAGCAGCGAGGAAGGCATAAATGTTAAGGGGATCCCAAGGAACTCAGGAATCAAGATAATGTTTACATGAAATATTTTTTAAAATGAAAATTAATGCCAAAATTGATGTTGAACAAAATATCGACATTTGTCATAAAGACAGGATCAGTATTACTGATTGTTTCTTTTGCCTCAGGCTCTATTATGGCTTGATAGGACCCTGGCGGTTATAATCATTAGGCTGACAAAGGTGCTTTTAATGTTATCATCTCATAGAGTGCTTAATTTGTAGCAACTGACTTTAAGCTTCTAGGTCTTACAGCCATGGCCCCTTAAGAATGCAGCAGAATCTAACCAAGTTGCTTTAGCTGGAACTCTCTGGGCTGAGAAGTCAGAGTTTCTCTTACCCACTTCTTCCTCCTGCCCAATACTACAGTCTTATCTGGGACTGTAATGGAGAAGAATGAACTCTTTTTTAACTTCTCTTAATATAATAATAATAATAATAAAGGTCCTATCTCTCAGGCAATACTTACGCATCATGACATTTTATAAAAACAACATTTATATAGAGACAGGGTCTCACTATGTTGCCAAGGCTGGTCTTAAACTCCTGGCCTCCAGCAATCTTCCCACTTCAGCCTCCCAAAGGGGTGGGATTAGAGGTGTGAGCCACTGTGCCTGGCCTCATTAAAGCAATTTTAAAAGTAGGACGTAAACATTTTTTTTTGAGATGGAGTCTCACTCTGTTGCCCAGGCTGGAGTAAAGTGGCGTGATCTCAGCTCACTGCAAGCTCCACCTCCCAGGTTCAAGCGATTCTCCTGCCCCAGCCTCCTGAGTAGCTGGAATTACAGGCACCTGCCATCACGCCCGGCTAATTTTTGTATTTGTAGTAGAGATGGGGTTTCATCATGTTGGTGATGTATTCTATCAACAGTATATATATGTTAATATCATACCCCTACTACTATGTTAAAAGCAGGTAAAAAAAAAAAAACAGGGAATGACCTTCCTTAATACATCTTTAATACCTTATCATTTAAAAGCCCAAGTCAAAAGACAAATGACAACTAGCGTTTTACCAAAGAATATTTAATCATCTAATTTCTCTTTTCCCAATGATATAAAGAAATAGAAAAGAGATTAAGAACCTATTGAATGTTGAATGATCTTTGCAACATAAGTGTAAGAATGACTTCTTTTTAGTATTTCCTATGTATCTGACATGGAGCTAAGTGTTTTCTGTCCATTATCTTGTTTAATCCCTCAACAACTCAACAAAATGGCGGCCATTATTATTCATATTTTACAGATGGAGGAGCTAAAGCCCAGAGGTAAAGTAACTTGCCCAAGATGGCCAATTGAAGAAGCAGAGATTTGAACCCAGACCTGTTTGTTTCCTTCTGGATGGTAGCTAAACCCAACTGGAAGGCACCTCAAACCTTGAAATGAGGTAGCTTAGGATGTAATCACATCCTAAGGACCAAATCACGGAGGTTGAATCCATTGATCTGACCAGCTGCCATGGCGGCCACTTTCTCCTTTCTCACCCCATGCCCCTCTCTCTGAAGCTTCATGCGGCTGCTGTGGGACACTCTGCTAGGTGCCACAAAGTTCAAGAGACTTTGCCTACACGTGTATATATTCTTAGGAAAGTTATAAGTTCACAAGAATTGAAATAAAACTCGAAGTGCATGCTATTCCTAATTAATAGCTCAATGTAGGTGGTCTGCGAGAAAGCTCATTAAGAAATCAAATGCTCACAGGTTGTTAACCATCCTCTTCTTCACAGCAACCACATATGGCCCTCTTTGTCCACTTCTGAAGGAAAGGGAATAAGAACTGCAATGTACAAGATCCATCAGATCTGCCCCTACCTTTAAACAGGTAACACAAATGCAGAACTTTTCAACGGGGTAAAGGAGCAACAAATATGCCTTAAATAGCCAAAGGTTTCACCCAGCAGAGGTGAACATACACCATGGGGAAACAAGAGCTAGAGAAAACTTGCCACAATGCATGGGACCGTTCAATCTGAATAGAAGGGCTGACCAGGTTTGATCCGCAATCAGTGAAAAGAAACCCACGATCTCAAGTATCTGCAACAAATTCCTCAGATCAGTAGCCCCAAGGTCACTAATCATTAATCTAGACAAAACAGTAAATACTAAAAATCTAAATAACCCTACCTCCCTCCCCTCAATATTAGCTCGAATTATCTCCTCTTTAAAAAAGATCCATGCAGCCCTTATATCTTTTTAACGAGAGTTACAACAAACAAAGCTAAGGTTCTTACCCCGGGGCTTGCACGGTCTCAGCAGAGCTGCAGGTGTGTGGATGACTCGTTGACACGGTCAGAATTGGCTGCAGGAGCGAATTGAATCAAGTTTTTCTGTAACGCTTAAACCTCATCCGCCCTCTTCTGCATGCTAGTGGTATGGCATGTTATATATATTCATTATAATCTTAGCACCCTTTAAAATTTTGGTAAAATACACAAAACAGAAAAGTTACCATGTTCACTATCTTTCCATTTTTATTTTTTACTTTATTTTTTATTTTATTTTATTTTATTTTTTTTGAGATATGGTCTCACTTTGTTACCCAGGCTGGAGTGCAGTGGCCTGATCACTGCTCACTGCAGCCTTGACCTCCTGCGCTCAATCCATCCTCCTCAGCTGCACAAATGGCTGGAACTACAGGCGCTCACCAACTGGCCTGGCTAAGTTTTTCGTATTTTTTGTAGAGATGGGGTTTCGCCATGTTGCCCAGGCTGATCTGGAACTCCTGAGCTCAAGTGAACTGCCTGTTTTGGCCTCCAAAATGCTAGGATTACAGTGTGAGCCACCGCGCCCAACATAAAGCAATTTTTTTTTTTTTTTTTTTTTTTTGAGACGAAGTCTCTGTCGCCAGGCTGGAGTTCAGTGGCGCGATCTCAACTCACTGCAAGCTCCGCCTCCCGGGTTCACGCCATTCTCCTGCCTCAGCCTCCCGAGTAGCTGGGACTACAGGCGCCCGCCACCACGCCCGGCTAGTTTTTTGTATTTTTAGTAGAGATGGGGTTTCACCGTGTTAGCCAGGATGGTCTCTAACTCCTGACCTCGTGATCCTCGAGGATTATAGGCGTGAGCCACCGCGCCCGGCCGAACTTAAACATTTTTAAATGTACAATTTGCTGGCATTAAGTACATTCACACTGTTGTGCAACCACTACCACTGCCCATCTCCAGAGCTTTTTCATCATCCCAAACTGAAATTCTATGCCCATTAAACAATAATTTCCGATTTTCCCCTCCCCTCAGACCCTGGAAACTATAATTCTACTTTCTGTCTGTGTGAATTTGACTGCTCTAGGTACCTCATGTCCGTGGAGTTATACCATATTTGTTTTTTTGAGACTGGCTTATTTCATTAAGCATAATGTCTTCAAGGTTCGTCCATATCATTTCTATTATTATTACATAGAATAATAGAATCTTTCCTTCCTTTTTTAAGGCTGAATACTATTCTGTTGTATGTACGTCCCACGTTTTGTTCATTCATTCATCCATAAACGGACATTTGGGTGGTTTTCACCTTTTGGCTCTTGTGAATAATGCTGCTATGAACGTGGTGCACAAATACCTATTTAAGTTGGTGCGTAACATTCTTTTGAGTCTATACCTAGAAGTGGAATTCATGGATCATATGACCATTCATTCTGTTTAATTTTTTGCAGAACCACCATACTGGTTTTCCACAGCATCTTAGAGCACTTTGACGATGCTTTTCTTCAAGGTGCAGGTCAGTTATCCCTTTCATCAGTTGGGTAGGGCAGTCATGTGATGATGGGCAGGAATAGGAATGGTGACTCCATAATTTCAGCAATCAGGCAGGAGAGGGTGGGAAGGAGTTATCTAGAGTAGGTGTCCTCAACCCCTGGGCCACAGACAGGTACCAGTTCACGGCCTGTTAGGAACCGAGTCACACAGCAGGAGGTGAGTGGTGGGTAAGCAAATGAAGTTTCATCTGTATTTACAGTCACTCCCCATCACTTGCGTTACCACCTGAGCTCCACCTCCTGTCATATCAGTGGCAGCATTAGATTCTCATAGGAGTGTGAACCCTACAGTGAGCTGCATATGGGAGGGATCTAGGTTGTGTGCTCCTTATGAGACTCTAATGTCTGATGATCTGTCTGCCTCCCATCACGTCAGATGGGACCATCTAGTTGCAGGAAAACAGGCTCAGGACTTCCACTGGTTCTACATTATGGTGAGTTGTATAATTATTTCATTATATATTACAATGTCATAATAATAGAAATAAAGTGCACAATAAATGTAATATGCTTGAATCATCCTGAAACCATCTCTCCCCCATCTCCAGACCCGGTCTGTGGAAAAACTGTCTTCCATGAAATTGGTCCTGGTGCCAAAAAGATTGGAGACCTCTGATCTAGAGGTCTTGTCTTGAAGTGAAGTGATAAAACAAGCATGGTATTTTAAAACAATGTAGATTGCAAAGTACAGATCAATTTTTAAAGCAACATTTTTGAGGTTTCTTTCATACTTGACTTAAGATTTAGGTGACTGTTGGAGATCACGAGTAAAGAAGAAAATTTCCAAATGGATTTGTCCACAGGAGGAATGATCAATTTAAACATGAATGATTACAATAGATTTATGTCATGTAAAATTGGGGAGTGCGTGGGTTCTTAAAATACATTTTTTTTTTTTTTTGAGACAGAGTCTCGCTCAGTCGCCCAGGCTGGAGTGCAGGGGTGCGATCTCGGCTCACTGCAAGCTCCGCCTCCCGGGTTCACCCATTCTCCTGCCTTAGCCTCCCAAGTAGGTGGGACTACAGGTGCCCGCCACCACGCCCGGCTAGTTTTTTTGTATTTTTAGTAGAGATGGGGTTTCACAGTGTTGGCCAGGATGGTCTCGGTCTCCTGACCTTGTGATCTGCCCGTCTCGGTCTCCCAAAGTGCTGGGATTACAGGCGTGAGCCACCATGCTCGGCCTTAAAATACATTTTTTGACTACCATGTTGGGGTTTCTAAATTTAAAATGTAGTCCATGTCTTTCCACATGTATTGTAGGGGGAAGTCACACAAAATATAAATAAATGTAAAAAGAAAAACAACAGCAAAACAAAACCAGTTCTGCTGCCCACCTAAACATATACAAACATGTCTGTATTACACAGACGGAGGAAGACAGGTGCTGGCTGTATGTCCGGAGCTGCGCGCCCCGGCCATAGCGAATAATAATTGACGATTGACGCCTGAGCTAAATACATTTCCATTCTATACCTCCTCCGTAGTTCTACCTTCTTCCCCTGTACTATTATCCCATAAAAGATGGCGCTCTTCCTGCTGCTGCTTCACCCATTTTTCCCGCGTCTGCAAAGAGATTATTTGACAGCGCAGGCGCAACATGACGTCTGACCGAAGAAACCGAAACCTACCTTGCCACGCCCACCGCGGAGAGATCATCACCGCCCTAGCCCAACCCCTGCCCCTCCTAACATATAAAAAGCATTGTATTGCCGCCAATAAACGAGACTTGATCAGGATACTGTCTTGTCTCCATTTCTCGTGTCTCTTGTTCCCCAAATTCCCACCCCCTCTTCCAGGGCCTGCTTTGACGATCCCGCGGGTACACCCGTCAGGAATGTTGGAGAGGGTATTCCCAGCTTGTTGGATGAACTAAGCTCTAAAATCTTTTTCATTTCAGAAATTCTCAAGCTACTATGATCAGCACACTCACATTGTATATTGCCCTCTCAAGGAAAAATAATCACTTGGGGTTTTTGTTGTCCAAAGACATATTCTTCCTTTTCCCAGAGATGGACATGTTTAAATACTTTATTGTCAGTAAACAGAGAAGTTTTCTTTAAGTGTTTTTACATTTGTTTACCAAAAACAAGTTGAGCCAAGTAAGGAGTTGTCGTCTGTGTCATCTAATCATCATCATTAAGCTTGCATTTACTTCCTAAGTGTAGATAGTATTGCACACAAGATATGGGCTAACCATCACCACAAACTACATAGAACATATACTTTATTCCCATTCGTCAGATGAAGAAACTGGTTGAGAGAGAACAAAAAACTTCCACAAGGTCATCATCCAACAGAAGAGGGAGCCAAGATTCAAAACTAAGTAAGTCTGGTTCCAAAGTCCACAATTTTTTCACGACTCCAGGTGCCCAAGAGGTTATGTAATACTCTCTCTGCCTTCACCTGAGATTTCTAAAACGTTTAAATCCTTATTCACAACTAGCAACCAAGAATAGTATGCTCAGAACCATATGTGCTGATAACTTTGAGATGTAATATTTTTATTCCTTTTAAAAAAAACTTCCCCCGGCCCTACACACATGCATGTGCACACACACACATATACACACACAAACACAAACACAAACACACACACACATTTCCCTCCTATGTCTTCCTCTGATTCCAGAGGTGGGTCTTCTATGATTCTGCTTTCACGTAAGTTGCAATGAACAGAGAGCCTTGGGTTATCACAAGGGGATGGAGGTTTACTTTAAGGACACGAGAGGCTGTAAGGAAACAGAGCAGCACAGCCCAGCCCTGTAGAGACCTGGAGCAGTGGCTTCTGGGGACTCCCAGAGCAGCCGTGGTGGTCAGCCTGTCTTGTTGGGCTGCTCTCCACTTTAGCTGTGACTTGAATTCTCTTTGACTCTTCCTCAATCTACTTCTCTTTCTATTCCCCACTTCTCTTTATTGCTGCCTTTGCTTCTGCATGTGTCTTCCTACAGCCTTTTCCCAGGCTCATGGCTTACAGTCAGGGCTGAGGCTCGCTCTGAGAATACCTCCCCCAAGATGGGAAATCTGTTCAGATCTTTGCCTCACTATGCAAGATGGAGTGTCTCTGTTGGGTGGAGGATTCATGACCACCTTACAGGCGGCTAGCTTATTTTATATTTATTATTATTTTGAGACAGAGTCTTGCTCTGTCACCCAGGCTGGAGTGCAGTGGCTTGATCTCAGCTCACTGCAACCTTCTCCTCCTGGGTTCAAGCGATTCTCCTGCCTCAGCCTCCCAAGTAGCCGGGATTACAGGTGTGCGCCATCATGCTCGACTACATTTTGTATTTGTAGTAGAGACGGGGTTTTGCCATGTTGGCCAGGCTGGTCTTGGACTCCTGACCTCAGGTGATCCACCTACCTTGGCATCCCAAAGTGCTGGGATTACAGGCATGAGCCACCACGCATGGCCTATTTTTATAGTTCTTGCCTTTAAGAGGGCCTTGGTCCCTGATCCAGGCAGGTGGGAAAGTCACATGACCTAGAGCTGCTGCCGGGTAGAAGGCAGGGCCTGGGCTTGCATTCTCCCTAAGGGCACTGTAGGTGGCTCAGGGTCTAGTATGGAGCATGTGTTAGCTGGGGAAAGTTCCTTTACTTTAATTACTGGTATCAGTAAATGAAAACAGTGACAACTTTTTTTTTTCTAAATCCTATTTCTGAAAAATAAATGAAAAGTAATAAAATTCTCACAT